TGATGAGTCTGAGCATGAGTGAGTCTGGGCTTGAATGGGTCTGAGTGTGAGAAAAAGTGTGTGTTAATGAATCTGAGTGCGAGTGAGCCGAACGTGATTGGGTATGGATGTGAGGCAGTCTGAGTGTGAGTCGGTCTGTGTTTGAGCGGACCGAAGGATGATGGGTCTGAGCAGGAGAGAGTCTGAGCATGAGTGGTTCTGAGCGTGAGTCTGAGTGTGAGTAAGTTTAAGTATGGATATGAGCAAGTCTAAGTGCGAGTGAGCCTGCGTGTGACTGAGTCTGAGTACGAGTGACTATGAATGCAGAAGAGTGAAGGAGAGCGGAGAGCGAAGGAGAGTGAGGCGGAAGCGTTTGAGTAAAACCTAGAAACTTTGAAACATCGAACCTCGATCGTCTGGCCCTGGCTACTCGAGTTGCCCACGTCCTCATCCTCCTCCTCCTCCGCATCAGCATCATCATCATCATCATCATCATCATCATCATCATCATCATCATCATCATCATCATCAGAATCCCCCTCCTGCTTCTGCTCCTACCGTGTTCATGCTGTCCTCCTTCTCCTCCTCCTCCTCCTCGTCCTCTTCCTCCTCCTCCTCGCTTCCTCCTTCTCTTCCTCCTTCTCCTCCTCCTCCTCCTCCTCCTCCTCCTCCTCTTCCTCCTCCTCCTTGGGAGTGCTGAAACCAGCAAATCGCCTGAGACATCCTCCCAAAACTGCTCCGAAAACGACAGATGCCCAGCATCATAACGGCCAAACCGCCTGAGACATCCCCGCAAACTGGGCGCGAACGTCCTCCAAATCTGCTCCGAAAGCGAAACATGTTGGAAGAGAAAATGGCCAAACCGCCTGAGACATCCCCAGAACATCCCGCGAAAGGGGCCGAGTGAGATACCCCCCCGCCGCTCCCCTTAGAGTGCTGAAACCAGCGAATCGCCTGAGACATCCTCCAGATCTGCTCCGAAAGCGAAACATGTTGGAAGAGAAAATGGCCAAACCGCCTGAGACATCCCCACAAAATCCCGCGAAAGGGGCCGAGTGAGATACCCCCCCGCCGCCCCCCCGCCCGAGTGCCCAACCAGCGAATGCCTGAACGCTCAATCGCCTGAGACATCCTCCAGATCTGCTCCGAAAGCGAAACATGTTGGAAGAGAAAATGGCCAAACCGCCTGAGACATCCCCAGAACATCCCGCGAAAGGGGCCGAGTGAGATACCCCCCTCGCCGCCCCCCTTAGAGTGCTGAAACCAGCGAATCGCCTGAGACATCCTCCAAATCTGCTCCGAAAGCGAAACATGTTGGAAGAGAAAATGGCCAACCCGCCTGAGACATCCCCCAAAAAAACCCGCGAAACTGGCCGAGTGCAACACCCCCCCGCCGCTCCCCTTAGGAGTGCTGAAGCCACAGAATCGCCTAGACATCCTCAACAACAGTGTGTGTGAGTCATCCGATGAGTGGTCCTGAGTGAGTGTAGTGAATGTATGAGTACAAGTACGAGTGAGTCTGAGTGATGAGTGAGTCTGAGTGATGAGTGAGTCGGAGAGATGAGTCTGAGTCATGCCTGAGTCCGAGTGATGAGTGAGTCTGAGTGATGAGTGAGTCTGAGTGATGAGTGGGTCTGAGTGATGAGTGAGTCTGAGTGATGAGTGAGTCTGAGTGATGAGTGAGTCTGCGTGATGAGTGAGTCTGAGTGGGTCTGAGTGAGAGGAGTGGTGTGTTCTCGTCTGTGTTCTCCTCCGGCGCGGTCCGCCAATAACAAGAACCCCATACTTAGGATATGGGGAATAAGGAACGCAGCACATTGCTTTCCAAGGAGTAACGCATAAAGAACGATACGTAACACATAACGCATAAGGACCGACAAATAACGCATGCAAGCCCTAGGAATGACCGAGCCCCATTTGGATCATAAGTGTTTCTGATTCAAGCCGCTCACTGTATCGATGGCAACGGTAACAACGAGAACAACGATCGTTATCGATGCTATCGCTATCGTTGCTAAATTAATCGCCGTTATCGTTGCTGTCGTTGTGGGAGTAACCTCCGAAACCGCGGACGTCTCGGAACAGGGCGAGCGGAGGCAACGGCAGCTCAAGGTCGGTGCCCCGACCACTCCCCGGGACAGGGCGCACCCGTGGTAGCAGCTCATTGGGAGCCTCCCGTACGATCTTGTCGGCTCTTGCGGATCGACGCTAGCCGACGCTAAATCGACGCCAAATCGCCGCCAACAGACGCTAACCGACGCTACATCGGCGCGATCTCAACGATCCCCACACGCTAATCAACGCTAACCGACGCCAAAGACATCATTGCGAGGGCACACGAGGTTTCAATGATTTGCTACGGAACGCACCAGTCTTCCGAGATACGTCCAGGCGTGGCGCCGAAGGGGCCCCTCGAAGGCCCACTGCCGTTGTCTCGAGTCTCCCTCCGCCGATTCTCGGATGGGGATCGCTGGAAGTGTAAAATCAGGTCGGGCATGTCCTCCTACAGGCAGGTTTTGGAGGAAAGATACAACAATTCAGCAAACAATGCTCAACAATAATCAGACAAATCTTCCCCATACTATGTTCTAACTCTTTTTAAATGTTCTTCCTGTAGAGGGGCATGCCCGACTTACAAGTATAATCAGAGAGCGACGGTGCCCGAGCGGCCTTACTCTCTTCCTGTGTGCGCCTCGTTGTGAGCTGCGCTTGGAGGCCAAACTCGGGGGGCCGCGCTGGGAGGCAACGTTCCTGTGTTGTTTGTTGTTCTAGTGCGCGACTTTGTTGGCGTTTTTTTTGTATTCCGCGTTTCGACATTGGGAGGAAGGGGGGGGAGAAGGGGGGTCTGGCTCTGGACCTCTGCTTAGTGCGACTGTTGGGAACCGTGCGTCCCAGGGGGGAGACTCCACCTGCTCGAAACAGGCGCCAAAAACAGACAAGATCTACTCCACCGGGGGGGGGCTACTACTTGCGCACGCTGGGCTATGGGCGCAAACCTCTTAAAGGGTAGGCGATGTGTCATTGCCTACTCGGGCCCTGCAAGCCAGCGGCCTCGACTAGGGGAACGACCAATGGCTTAGCACAAAAAACTCGGAGGTCCGCGCGGATTTCTCGGATCGGCGCTGGGGCTCTCTGGCGGCGCCTCCAGCGCTGCCCCTGCCGAGCTCCGCGCGCCAGGGAAGGGGGTCCAGCGCCGATCCGAGAAATTCGCGAGGACCTCTTAGTTTTTATGTTCATGTTTGCTCCGCTATCGACCCTGCGAGGCTCTCCCCAGGGCAGAACGGATAGCAGCAACGCTCCCTTGCACAGGGACAGAGGAGGAGGGGGGGAGGAGAACCGCACGGGGGCCTGGTGACGCCAAACTCTGGGAAGCCACGTGTTGAACCCTCGGAAGCAACTCATGGGAGCCTGCCGTGCTATCGTTTTGGCGCTTGCGAATCGGCGCGAATCGACGCAACATCGATGTCAGTCGACGCTCCTCGACGCTCAATCGGGGCTGTCCCATCGACCGCCTGACACTGATCGACGACAGTGAAGTCTAAAAACGGAATTGCAAGGACCTGCAAAATTCCTATGACGTGCTACCGGATTTAGGAACACGCTGGGGGGACCAACTCGCACGGCGGATGCCGTCAAAGACGGGGTCCCTGCCCACATGCACGTGCACGCGCCCATGGGCTGCCTCAGCCTTCGGCTTGACCTGACCTGACCTGGGGGGCCACGCAAGGGAGCTCACGCAACAATGGGCGTTGTGTCCGAGGAGGTTCGGGCTCGGCTCCCGCCAGGAGCAGGCGCCCGCTGCATCCTTTCTTACCCGCGGCTGCGGGGAGTAGGAAGCGGCAAGTTCGTGTCAAATCGACCCCGGCGTTGGCTCCTGTCACCACGGGGCTCATTCACTCTTGAACGATCGTCCGTTCCCGAAATGTCAGGTCGTTGCACATCAAACGATTCGGGGTCGCTGGCGGCGTCCAACATTGAACGCCGTAGGTGGAGTCACCGCCGGTCGACACGACGCGAACCTACCGCAGGTATTTCCTCCAAAAAGAATCCGATGTCTTGAGTTGTGCAATGTGAGCGTTTTTTTCGGCGTTTCGACATTGGGCGGAAATGAGGGGGGGGTCTGGCTCCGGACCTCTGCTTAGTGCGACTGTTTGCGACAATGCGTCCTATGAGGGAGACTCGACATGCTCGAAACAGGCGCCAGAAACAGCCAAGATCCACTCCATGGGGGGGGGGAGCGGGGGGTGCGAGGGCCCGCGCCGATCGGCAAAACAAGGAATGAGAAAACGATCGCCATCTCCTCCATCATAAAATCCGATGTTTTGATGTGTTCAACGCAGGGTTTCAGAGAAGACTCGACCCCTTCCAGGACCAGCTTTTCACCCTGAGTCGTTTGGTGACGGTCCCTGGGCCCAGCGAGGGCCCCCACGGATGCCGAAGATGGCGGTAAGCCTCCGCCCTGACTGCTTCCATGCGTTGGAGGTTTGGGTTCGAGCCTCGACGTCGGCCCCCAGCTCCACTGCACCTATGCTTCGAGTAGGGGGTCGACCACAAAATGGATTTACCCCAACATTGTTGTTCAACCGAATCTAAGGAAAAGCGTAGGAAGGCTCAGCAAATCTAAGGAACACTCTACTGTCTCTTCCCCCGTAGACTGGACGGGAAAATCATTTCGGGGTGCATCAATTATGCAGTCGATCCCCTACTCGGATTCTCTTTTCCGCAACTGCTAGTGAAACAAACAATGATATAGACATAACAACTCGGAGGTCCGCGAAGGTTTCTTGGATCGGCGCTGGGCCCCCTCCTGGGCGCGCGGAACGCGCCAGGGGCAGCGCCGGAGGCGCCGCCAGGGGTGTCCCAACGCCGATCCAAGAAACCCGCGCGGACCTCCGAGTTGTTATGTTTATGTCATTGTTTGTTTCCCTAGCAGTTGCGGGGGAAAAATATATTTGTTCATTTGTCGGTGATAACCACCGTTATCCAAAGGTGGAGGATGTGCGGACCGCTGACCTATTCTTTTCGCTTTGGGCAGCCACACGTATAACCGCGCGCACCAATACTGCGTACGCCATTCTGACCTGCGCAACCGAGAAGGTCAGTCTGTCTATTTTTTGGGGTGAAAGGGCGGGCCCGATAACCCGAGTTACCGCCAGATTCGTGAAACAAAATGTCCTGCTGCAGGAACTCGGCCAAGAGAGGGGATGTGCAACATCCATTCAAAATCGGTCCCCTGCCGGCTCTGACTGCAACAGGATGTCTGATGTCCTCGAAGCAATAAAGAAGGAAAACACGATAGTTGAAAGAAGGCGCCGACAAGCGCATACTTGTTGAGAGGATGCAGAACATGCAATCACTTGTTGTCGCTGATGCACAAGATGCAATCAAATTATTGTTGCTGCTGTCGGCCGGAACCGGCGGCTGCAAGCCACGCGGCGTGCCACGGCCGGAAGACCGCCAGTTTGTAGTTGAGCACCCGGTACGCCAAAGTGCAGAGTTGAGGGCGGTGGTGGTCGTGCCAACCATGCAGCATGAAAGCGCTCCGTTCGGCCTGAGAGAGGTCGGCCGGGAGTGGTAGAGGTAAATGGAGCCCGTGCGCTCGACGAAGCGGCTCCGTGGTCGGACATTCGTGCATCATGTGGTGGGTGTTGTTGTCCACCTGGCAGGTGGGGCAGGTGCGCGAGAAGCAATCTGGATGCAGATGCGAAAGGCGCACTGCGTTGGGCTCGGCTGCCATCACGCACCTCTGTGCCAAAGCGAACTGGTCGTGGTCGGCCCCGGCGTGCTCGTCCAGCCACTCGCAAAGGGTCGTGTGGCAAGGCGCTGGTACGCGGCCGGCGGCCTCCTTGCGGAGCGTCCGTCGGTGGTAATGTGTCCAAATCCATGCCCGCTATGCCTGGCGCACGTGGTGGTCCAGGTGTTCTTGGCGAAGGAGTCGAACATCGAAAATTTGATGGTCGATGGGCTGCCAGAAACGGGGGACGACTTGCCAGATCCGGGCAGCCAGGCGATAGCTCCACGATCCGTCCGCACAACCTCCGTGCTGCTCCTGCTCGTGCAGGTGGGTCCAGGCTCGCTGCATGGTGCGCGCGGTGTCCTCGCTACACGCCGCCTCCACGAGACACCGGATGAGAACCGAGAACTGCACCGCGAAGGGCTCCACGAGCCATCCTTTGTCCGTGGTGAGCCAGAAAGCACCGCCGTGCCTCCATGCCCAATGTCTTTGTCTCCCGGTGATGGTCTTTTCTATGTCGTAGCGCGTGCTGTGCGGGTCCGTGTCGTCGGCCATGACCCACGGAACGTCCCAGCGCCACAAGGACATGGTTGCTCTCACCATGGCCATGCGCCTCCGGGCCCCGAGCCCGGCAGCTTTGGCGATCCTGGCGATGCGTCGGAGTCGTTCCTGGAGCTCCCCTGCCCTCCGTTCGGTGCGCGGGCCGCTGCGGGGGTTGCGGGATCCAGTAAGGTCGAAAACGATGCCTAGCACCTCGATGTCGGTGTCGATGTGGTTGTCGGCGCGACTGTTGGTGAGGGGGAAGGGGAGGGGGAGGGTGCTGTCGGCGCGGTCGGTGCCGTTGGTAAGGAAGACCACCGCCATAGAGCCCTTCTTGGGATCTTCGCGTTGAAAAAAAAATCCCCTGACCCTTCTCTGGGTTTACCTGGCGCAGCTCTTCACCCAGGATCAGTTTTCAACCGTCGCGCGCGGGGACCTGCAAAGAAGTGAAACAGCTTCCTGAGCCCCGATGAGTTTCCTTGAGTTCCAGACTTTTGGCTGGATCCCGATTAGGTATGGGGCTGAACCTGGGCCAGAACCTCGAATCTGCCCCCCTCTTCTGCGGAACGGAACCAGTGCTGCTGGGACATCTCAGGCGCCCAGCCAGCTCCGAGCGGGGACAACTGTAGGTGTAAGGAGGGAGGAGGGGCCCACGAAACGGTGTAGTGGGTGTGCGGGACGCATGCGGACGGCAGCACTGGGACCTTCGGTGGGGTTCCCTGAGAGGCCACGAAGCGCTGTGCTGGGTGGGTGAGACGCAAGGAAAAGGGAAGACGGGGCCACGAAACGCTGTACTGGATGTGCGGGACGCATGCGCCATCATGGCATGTCCGAGCTCAGTCCGCGGGCTCAACGGTGTTCCGCACTGCATCCGAATGCCATGCCAGACCCGATCCGACCCGAGGGCATCACCACCCTGGCTTCCCACGCTTCTTCTCCCAGCCTGGCGAGAAGTCGTGATGCCCGCCCGGCTTCCCCACGAAGGGATTCACGTGCTCGTCGTGCCCCTTCCAGAAGATCTTCGCGGCCAACTCTGGCCTCTGCTCGAGCAGCGCGAGAGGCCTGTCGATCCCACGCCGCTGCTCCGCGCGCAGGTGGTACCCACGCGTGTTGGCCGGGTTGACGAATTCATTGGACGGCCTGACGTCCATGTACCAGCCGCCAGGCCCAATGTCAAATGCATTCGGGTCGCAGGCTCGCCAGCGCATCTCGTCAATCGTCGGGGCCGACAGCCCAGCGTCTCGACCTGGGAGAGAGAAAGATCCACCGCCGCTCTACTGTGGAAAATTTCGCCCCCCCTTCCTCCGGAACCTGGGCCCCCTTCCCCTCCGAAAATCCCCTCTTACCCCCTGTCGTGCGGCTTGGCGTTACATCGCACGTGCGCATCTCAGCGTGCACCGCAGAATGGTCGATTGAATCGGTCCACTTGGTTCTAGGACGGCCAGTTTGGCTGGAGCACCCCGGACGCATATGGGTGTTAGGGTGATGCGGGCGGACTCGGGGGGACTCGTAGATTCCAGCGGCGCTCCTTTGTCCATGAGGATTTGTTTTCCATTGTTTTCTCTGGAATTCCCACGCGCTTTATTTTGTCACAAGGATTCCTTCTGAAATTCTATACACAACAATGGTGCTGTGTTGCACACGGCTGATGTGGTGCACACAGGCGCCGTGGCGTACACAGACACCGAGCGACGACGACGAACGACGACGACGACGACGACGCCTGCGGACCAGACACCTATGCGGATTCCTACGCGGACACCTACTCGGATCCCAATGCGCACGGCGGCAGTGCCCGGAGCGCACTGGGGGGGGCGCGTTACGTCGTAGGGGGGGGGGGGGAGCGGGGGCCATGACGCCCGTCATGCCCCAAGCAATAAAGAAATGGCCTCGTGGGAGAGGACGGCGAGTCGTTGCGGCGAGGGAGGAGGGGAGGGGAGGGGGGGGGGTCGAACCTGTAACTAGCGACACCTCCAGATTTTCCAGGAGGGGGGGGGAAGGGGTTCGAACCAGTACTGACCCCCCTCCATTCCATGATGGACGGGGGGAGAATTGGGGGGTCGGAACCCCCAGTGACCCCCCCTGCTTGTCGAGAGGGGGGTGGGCGGGTTGGAACCCCCCAGTGACCCTCCCTGGTTTTCTGCTAGCAACGTTAGAACACGCTCTTTCAGACCTGGCACCCTAGGCTCCGCGTAGTGCGTGTACTTGAATATGACCTCATCGTTAGACATCGTAAAATTATGGATGTGACGGGAGGCCACGACAGGCGTCATACTGCCAGAGCTGCCAGTGCGGACCTCCTGCATGTCGATCCCGCCATCCATGACACAGACCGCGAGGATAGCGTCTGGGTGCCACCACGCAGGAACGGTGGTGGGACAATCGATGTAATACTCAAACACTTGGGAACGCAACAATACCTTCGCGTCCTTGACGCATGCGTCTTGTGGTTTTATGCCCCCAGCCAGCTTGCGCTTCACTTCCGCGAACGCGGTGCTCTCACACTCAGCGAGGGCAACAAGAGACTCACGAAGCGGGATTTCGTCAGAGTCCGCGACGATGAGGATGTCCTCTTTGTGCAACTCCCATGCGCCCGCGGAGTCCTGCAAGCCCCTTTGGAATTGGGCGCGGATCCACACCTCCAAGATGAACGGATCCGTGCTTTGGTGATGCCCTGGCCTGCTCAACTTATCCCGCTGCTCTGAAGACCATTTCGGAAATAGTTTGGGGTTCCACTCTGGAATCGGATTCTCCAACACGATGTGCCGCAGCTTGTCCCCATAGCGCTTCCACCTCGCGTCAGACATGTTCAAGCTCGGCTGCCTTGGAGCTCCTGTCAGGGTCACTAAAGGATCCAAAGCAACGATCTGATCAACGAGCGGATAGATCTCTGCGAAAGTCAGGTCATAGACGTCCTGCTGGCCGTTGTTCCCGACGAGGGTGCAGTAAAATAGACGCGGTCTTCGCTGACCCTCTGGACGAGCTGTCCAGCCGAAATGCTTTCACAGCCCATCGATCCCGAACTCCTGCGCCACGCTCGCCGCCGCCGGGACCAGGGGTCTGGCCCGCTCGGTCGCTGCCGCCACAGGCACGGCCACGCCAACGCCTGTGGTGGGCTCGCCCGCGCGCAGCGCTGGCCGCCCGGGCGGCGACCCTGCAAGTGTGACTACTCTTGTTGCCGCCACGCCGCTTTCCTGCAGCCCTTGGAAGCCGAAGGAGCTTGCGTACGAGGCTCCCGACAAGTCGGACAATCTCGCCAAGTCCGCGGCAACCCCCAGGCAGAAGCCGACCGTGAGCCCGGCGCCGGCTGTGAGAGCATATCGGATGCAGTGGTAGCCCATGATTAACCGCTCATGGCCGCGCGTACGTCCCATGATTAACCGCTCGGGGCCACGCTTCCTTGCCTGCTCGGACTCCACCTTGAGCCGAAAGGGTACGGATCATTATGGGGATGATGCTGATGATGATGGTGATGATGATGATAATGATGACGATGCTGATGATGCTGATGTTGATGCTGCTGCTGATGATGATGGTGGCGGTGGTATTGCCGATGAGCAGATGAGGACGTGGACGATAATGGTGGTAATGAGGGGGTGGGCGACAACGGCAACGACGAAGACGAACAATATTATCCCAGTGCGACCGTACCTAGGAGTTGGAGCATCTAGGAAAGCAACATCTACATCTACACCGACAGCTACAGTAACATCAACACCTGCATCTACATCTACATCAACATCAACAGCGAGACTCACATCTACATCTACATCTACACCTACATCTACATTTACATCTGCACCTACACCTACATCTACATCTACACTTTCGCATTGGTTTGTTCCCGACCATCCTGTGGTGTTGGGTCCTCGTTTTGAAGAGACGGTGCCCCGCGTTCCTCTCCTTTCTTCCTTCCTTCCTTCCTCTCCCCTTCGCGCCTCCAGGTTGGCCCCCAGCTCCACCATCCTCTCGAGGAGGTCGGCCGGCGCGCGCCTCTCGGGCGTTGCTCAGGAAGGGGAGCGACAGGTGGGCGGGCGGACAGACGGGCACCCTTCGTGCCCTCTTGTGGATCCAGGGGGCCAGTCAGAGCCACTGAGGTGCACAAAATGTGCGCCTCTATTCAACCCCCCATTTGCCGCACCCCCTTGCGCAACGCCCGAACCCGAGTCCCATCTACTCGGACCGCGTCTGCGGACCCGACACCCTGACATATCCGACGTCGCGATTGCTTCACAGCGTGGCGTCTCAGAGCCTGGCCCCTTCCTTTTTCGGGGATATGATGCTTCATCCTGTGTCGCTGTTTGATGGTCCTGGAACCCGATGATGGGGAACCGAAAGGTACCGATACCCCTACTCCGCGAACCTCCCCCGGGTTGCGGTCTGACTAGAACTCCGAAGCGCATCCACCGGTGGCGACGAAAGACTCCAAGGAAACCCCAAAAAGCGAAAACGAACGAAGGATAGCAAAATGGGTACACGCCGGTCGGACATCGTGGGTAGAACCATGAAGTAGGAAGGCATTGGAAGTAGATTGGGTCTCCGCCCGAGTAGGAGAAAGGAACCCCACTCGATCCCTGAAGTAGGAAGGCGTAAGAGATCTACATTCAACGACCGGCGTGTCCCTTTTCCTCATCTGAGGTGAGAGCCCCAGGAAAATCGGGGGCATCAAAGAGGGGGGCGTCCTAGAGGGGGGGTGCAAATCGTGGCCCGAGGCATGTGCGCGGACCAGGGGGGGCCAGGGAACGCATCGAAATAAGAAGAGGGGCCATGAAATCTGGGGAGATATCATGGCCCTGGCCATGATATCCAACCCCCCTAGTCATCCCAAGGCCGCGCTAGCGGCGATGTTGGTTCACGGCGATGTTGGGAATCTGATTGTTGTGACACCGAGCTCGCGCAGAACAAGTTGTAGGAAATCACGAAGCACACTTTTCTACATTTCAAATATGCGAACGTATCGAGCGAAAACGACACAGCGAGTTGTAGGAAAACGCGAACCACGCGTTCCTACATGTGGTTTGGCCACGAACCACGCCTTCCTACAATTGGACTTCCCACTTCGCCGTTAACTAACACACCATGAGCGCGACCACGGATGAGATCCCCCCCCCATAGTCTTAGGCCGGCAATGTCCCCCTACAGGCGGAGTTTGGATGAAAAGTTGTTTTTTGTTTGTTTGTTTTTTCTTAAGAAAAAACATACCCCAACATGGTCACAAACAGTCAAGCAATCGTTAACCAGCCTACTCTGTACTGTTTCTGACGATCCCCCCTGTAGAGGGACAGGCCCGACCTGACCTTGGTCACCACCCCCCTCTCTTTGGACACCCGAAATGGGTACCGAAAGAATGGGCAACATGCCCAACAACAAATGTTGTCCCGAACCAACAGCAGCCGCTGTTTGGCAGGCGGCCTTCTGTCTCGAATGGACACAGGCCGCGGCGGCGCGGACAGCGAGTCCTGTTCAAAATGAACAGGAACTGCTGTTGGGCATTGTACCCATTCTTTCGGTACCCATGTCGGGCGTCCAAACTCTCGGCCGCTCCCGAGATGCGAACGTCGCCCCGGGCGCCTCGCCGCCACAGCGAGCGCCGGCCGGGCCTGCGCGCCGCTCGCCGCCAGAGCGGCGGCGCCGCACACGTCCAGCGCGGCGCGCGCCGCCTCCCAACGTACGGTAGGTTTAGGTCGGGCATGTCCCCCTGCAGGCGGACTTTGGTCGAGCACTGAAAAACACTCCACCGATTTTCAAACATGGTCAAACGAATACAATCAAGAAAAATCGTCCCCCGACTGCTTCTGGACTGTTCTTGATTATTCCTCCTGTAGAGAGACATGCCCGGCTTAACGGTAGGTTCGCGCGGCGTCGGCGCGCACAAAGGTTTTCGACACCGCGCCGATCGTTCCAGGTTGGGGAGGTGGATTAGGGTCGGGATCAGTGATCCCTTAGTTCGGCGCCCTTTTCGGTGTTTCGTTTTTCAGGTTTCCCCCCGTTTTCAGGTTTCCCCCGAGCCCGCCGCTTTTTCTTATTCGTTCCATCTTACGTCCCCACGATTTTTCAGTATGTAGACTCAACCTGGAGCTTCCAGGTTGAATCGATCGCGACCCCGATCGTTCAAGGTTGAATCCTGTCGGGTCCAATGGCGTTACCGTCGGTTGCTGCTAGAAGTGCCCCTGGCCCAAGGTGCCCCCAGCCTTTCGCTCTACCCTGGAGCCCCTGGGGCTCGCGAGGGGTGCCCTGGAGGCCCTCTGGGCCACCCCGAGAATCCTAGGGGTACCTTGGGCCAGGGGCACTTCTAGCAACACCCGCCGATACCGTGCTTCCGCGTCGCAGAGATCAGCCTTGGACGCCTTCGCCGGCATCGCCGACGCGCGCCAACGCCGCGCGAACCTGCCGCAGGGGCAGGCAACACTTAGCCGGGCACGGGATCGAGTCGAAGCTCGAGCGGCAGACGCGGCGGCGGACGCGGGTCGCTATCGCCGCACGCCACATGTTTCGAAGAATAATCAAAGTACATAGACATAAGCATAAACTTTTGGCGCTCCGCGCGGATACCTTCGATTCGCGCTGGACCCCCCTCCCTAGCGCGCGGAGCGCGCCAGGGGCGGCGCCGGAGGCGCCGACGGGGGGCCCAGGCGCGGATCCAACAAATCCGCGCGGAGCGCCACGAGTTTATGTTTACGTGGTTATGTCTTCGTCGAGCATTGAGAACGAGGGCGGCTACGCGCGACCTTGCGCGGTTACGTGACTACACGATTACGCACGAATGCCGGCGCAAGTGGACAATCTGCTCTTTTCGTCTCTCGGTGGAGACAAACAATAATTGGCCTTTGGGGGGCGGCGTCGTCGCCACGGCTGCACGCAACTCGGGGCATTTTTGCGTTCAGACCCGTCGAGGGGCCCAGAGACCGAGTCTGAGCTGCCGTTGTCTCAACTCGCCCTGCTCCGAGCATCGAATCCATCAGCCAGATCGAGCCGAAACGTCAGGGAACATTCTGCAAGGTCTTCGCAAAAACGAGTAAGGGCTATGAAGACCGATGGGGTCTTGTGGATTGTCTCAGTTTGTGGCAATTAAACTGGCGAGCATGTGAACATCTCACAGACGCGTCAAGAATGTTTGACACCATGGACCCTACACAGAGTATTATTGCACTTTGGATATGAAAAATGATTTGCGGTGCATCATCTGTGGATACGCTACGTCATGAAGTACATATGTGTGCATCCATGTTTACATGTACATATCTGTTGCGCGCGAAATATGTGGTAGAAGCAACGCGGTGCAAGCGGCCAACGAGCATGCACAGGAACTGCTCGCCCGAAAACCGAGGAAGCGAAGCTGCTGTGGGCGCCCCCTGCACGCGTCGCCACAGAACCTCTGACCCCTCGGCGCATGCGCATGACTGTCCTGTCGCTCCCCATACAGCTTAACCCAGCCAGTAAGCGGCCGCGGAAGCGTTCGACGCGGTGACTTGTAGTGCCCTCATGGGGGCCTCGTAGGGCCTCCATGACGGCCCCAGCGGGCCCCACGAGGTACCCAAGAGGGTTCCAAGAGCGGTCCTAATTGAGCCCCTGGTCCAAATGCACAGCGTGGAATTCCTCTAGGGAGCCTCCTGGCGGCCGTAAGACGGCACCCGAGGGCCCCAGGAAGGTCCTCTCAAGGCAGCGACGAAGCTTCGAGAGGGTTCAGCTCATCACCCCCCGGTTATTATCCCACCGTCTTTGCTGCCATCGTCCCTCGTGAAAGAGGGGGCCGCTGTTGCTACAGGTCCGCTTTGTAAATTCGCCGACCCTTCGGCATGTGGAAGACGCTGTCGTCTTCGTCGTCTTCAGTCGTCGCAGAGATCTCCTGCAGCCGTCGCAGTTTTCCTCCTCCGTTCCCTGAGCCCTCCTCCTCGAATTCGCCAGCCACAACGAAAAGAACCAATGCCGATATTGAGTCGAAAAGAAATCTTTCCATTCATCCTTTCCAAGCAATGGGGGGATGGGTCCCGGGCGGGGTTCCGCGAGGGGCCCAGAAGAACGATCTGATTATATCTTGCACGTCGTGCACTAATTCTGAAGAGTATTGCAGCCGACTCTGGGGACAGCAGCAAACATTCATAGCACTATATCCACGCGTGGCTCTCAGCTGAATGCCCTTGGCTTGGTAGGAGAAACTACGGCCTTATCATCTGCGACCAATCATGGTACCAGAGTAACCTACCGATCGTGGTAGCGGAGCTCTGGAGTTCGTTGGACAGCACGACGAAATCTTGCAGCTGTTCCTAGGGATGAGAGCGATCGACGGCATTGGGTCTCGCGAAACCGACAGATCAGATTACATTGCTCCTGGGACTGATCAATGTCTACCATGTGACGCAGTGTGAAAGGTTCGACAGTTTCGGCGACGCGGATCCCAGACTGCCGACCAGGAACTGATAGAAAGGCCCATCAGGTCTTCAACATTATTCATTGCGTGGAACTTCTCATATGTGCATCTATTCGCATGGACCTGTCCGCCGTGAATGTCTAGGCGCAAGAGCTTTCGAATATACACGGGCTTCAGTTGTGGCGGTCTGGTCATGAATCTAACTGCGAATAAATTGGAGTGTGAATGAGCCTCAGTAATACGAGCGCGTCTCTGCGCATGAGCCTGCGGCCTCCTGGGGCCTCCTGAAACCTACTGGGGCTTCCTGGGGCCTCCAAGAGCCTCTTGGGGCCTCCTGGGACCTCCCAGGGAGGCTTCGTGCCCCAGGAGAGGCCCAATATATAGCAACCGACGTACATAAAACATTGCGGATTGGAGCCACAGGAGAAGGGCAATCTATAGACACACGTAACGCACCAAGGACTCGTGCCCCAGGAGAGGCCCAACATATAGGAACACAAGTAAAACATTTAGGATTGTGTTCACAGGAGAAGGACAATCTATATAAACATACGTATAACGTCAAGGATTCGTGCTCCAGGTGAAGCCCAATCTATAGGAACATACGTAAAACACATGGGATTGGAGCCACTCCTGTTGCCTTCTGAGGCCTCCTGCTCCTGGGGCCTCTCGGGGCCTCCTGTTGCCTTCCGAAGTCTCCTGGCGCTTCCTGTGGCCTCCTGGGGCCTCCTGTGGCTTCCTGAGGCCTCCTGGAGCTTCCTGGGGCCTCCTGGAGCCTCTTGGGCATATTGTGGCCTCTTGAGTCGGTCGGTGGCCTCCTGATGCCTTCTGGGACCTCATGTGGTCCCCAGGGGCATCCTGGAGCCTGTTGGAGCATCCTGTGGCATCCTGAGGAGAACCTGTGCCCACGAGTCTGGCAACCAAAACAGGCAAACCGGACGAGACATCCTCAAAATCTTGTCCACCTGGGGGGTGAAAATGAGCGCCTCGCTCGAGGCATACTCCAAATCTGCTCCGAAAACGAAATATGTTGGGACAGAAAACAAGCAAACCGCTTGAGACATCTCCACAAAACGGCCGCGAACGGGACCGTGTCATACCCCTCGGCGGCCCCCCTTAGGGGGCGTGAAAATGAGCGCCTCGCTCGAGACATCCTCCAAATCTGCCCCGAAAGCGACGGATGTTGGGACAGAAACCAGGCAAACCGCTTGAGACATCCCCACAAAACGGCCGCGAACGGGACCGTGTCATACCCCTCGGCGGCTCCCCTTAGGGGCGTGAAAATGAGCGCCTCGCTCGAGACATCCTCCAAATCTGCTCCGAAAACGAAATATGTTGGGACAGAAAACAAGCAAACCGCTTGAGACATCCCCACAAAACGGCTGCGAACGGGACCGTGACATACCCCTCGGCGGCTCCCCTTAGGGGTGCTGGAACCAGCGCCCAGCCTGAGACATCCTCACAATCTGCTGTGTGCAGAGTAAGTCAGACAATGAGAAGGCCTGAGTATGAGTAAGTCTGGGTGTGAGTGAGTCTCAGCATGAGTAAGTCTGAGTATGAGTAGGTCTGAGTATGAGTAGGTCTCAGTATGAGTAGGTCTGAGTATGAGTAGGTCTGAGCATGAATAAGTCTGTGTATGAGTAAGTCTGTGTATGAGTAAGTCTGGGTATGAGGAGGAGGAGAAGAAGAAGAGGAAGAGGAAGAAGGAGTAGGAGGCGTCCAAGTAGTAACAAGAACATCATCTTAGGATATGGGGAAATATCAACGAGAGGTGATGGGCAACGCGGGTAAAATCAAGACAGACGACACACTGTTGGGGGTCAATATCGTGGAATAATATACGCGGAGAACCGAACTTGGCAATTCAGGACATCGACCCGTCGGCGCTTCGAACCGAAGACGGAGTAGAACAGCTGCTGGCAAAGCTTGCCGAACGATTCCCCGAGACGACGCTGAAACATGTTCAGAGAGCATACGTCGACGAAGTCGAACTCAAGACGGACATGCAACCATATCTGATAGAAGAGGCGATCGCCCAAGACGAGCTGCAACGAGCCGACACGGACATCATAATCAGTGACACGACGATGGGTTGCATCTGTTTGAACTGGAACTTGACGGAGCCCGACAACTACCATGCCATCGGGCTCGCGGGCAACCGCATTAAGCTGAGCCAATTTCGGACACACACGTGCGTCCTGTACCCACGGACATGTCGCACACGAGGCACCGGCCTCAGGTGAGAGGCGGAGCTGGTGGTCCCCGCAAGACCAGATCGACAGTGGGTTTCTT